CCCCCCCCCCCAGGAGGAAATGCTTTCCGATAAGATGACTCCCGGCTTCATTGTCCTTTCCTTACACAGCCTAGCAGGGAGAAACATTGTCAGCCCCCTGCACACACTGGAGGCTCATAAGTATTATCCTTCACAGGTCTCCTTGCCTCCCTTAAATACACCAACCACAACATAATGAGTGGCATGCAGCGGTCTCTGGAGGGACTCCCAATTACAGAGCTTCTAACCCTACCACACAGGAGCTCTTACATCTAGGCTACTGGCATAACTCTTGCACTCTTCTATAGTATTAGCCCCATACAGTAACCAGAATCAAATATTTTTTGTGTACAGTTGTAGTACAAGTACAAATTGGTCAAATTGATCCCTGTGGAGCACCTTGCATCCTTGGCTAAGGCAGTACATGGCTGCAAAATATGAAGCCCTGCCCGGCTGTTGAATGGTAGAACCTCTACTGCCCAAGACCTAGCATTAGTCATCTGAATGACATGGGGTATCTGTAGCTTTTTCCTAAGATCACATTGTCCTTTCCTTACACAGCCAAGCAGGGAGAAACATTGTCAGCTCCTTGCACACACTGGAGGCTCCTATGTCTTATTCTTCACAGGTCTCCTTGCCTCCTTTAAATACACCAACCATAGCATCATGAGTTGCATGGAGTGGTCTCTGGAGGGAATCCCAATTAAACAGCTTGTAATCCTACCACACAGGAGCTCTTACATCTAGGCTACTGAAGAATGTAATGGGGACTTTGGGAAACTACAGTGGCATAACTCTTGCACTCTTCTATAGTACTAAACCCATACAGTAACCAGAATAAAATATGTTTGGGTACAGTTATAGTATAAGTAGCAAATTGGTCAAATCGATCCCTGTGTCCCTGTGGAGCACTTTGGATTCTTGAATAAAGCTGTATATGGCTGCAAAATATGAAGCTCTGCCCCAGCTGTTGAATGGTAGAACCTCCACTGCCCAATACCTAGCATTAGCCATCTGAATGACATGGGGTATCTGTAGCTTTTTCCTAAAATTACAATTGGACGTAAATTATTCAACGGTATCAGAAACAAACATCACATACCGTAATTGTAGCAAAAATGTTTGTAAATAATTACAATGGAGGGAGTTGGTGGGATGGAGCAGAATTTAGCCAAGGGACCCACTGGCCCCCAAGTTGCGTCATGGAAAAAAAACATCCAAAACAGACACCGAAATCAGTGATTTACTACAGAGAAACATTTAGGAAATTTCCTGTTTAATGAAATAAAATGTGTTTACAATCAGCACATGGATATGTGTGTGTAGTATCCCGGATAAGAAGGGTTAATAGAAAACATACATTCCCAGCTCAACATGTGGCAAACATTTTGGTGTAACTATGTACGGTCTTTGATTAATATTAGATTAGATGTCTCATTGTTAGAAATTACTATAGAAAAAGAATCTGGAATATTCTGTGCATCATACAGGATTCCTGCGTGTTTTTATCACTCAATATAAAACATAACTTTTCATATTGTTTCTTTGAGTTCTCATATGTTATCTTATCTTATCTCTATGTTATTTGCACTTTTTGAATATCTTATGGTGATGGCTGTACAGTGACAACTTCTGATTACTTTACGCTCTCTCTTAAGTCAGCTAAAAGAAACTATTACTATCTTGTCTGTATACTTTATCTAAGTCATTTAACTATATATCTTCTTGATATGTTTTTGTTCTTAAGTTAACCACACAATGTAGCCCGGAGAGGCTGTCAGAATACCCAAACAGTGACTGCAGCTGACTGTTGAATTAAAAAGGTTCTTTGAAAATTGGTGAGCTGGGTGGCAGGGCCACTCACGGATGAATTTTCTCAGAGTGAGCAAGAAACAGACAAAATCCTCTTTATTGCCCCTGTGACATCATTACAGTTGCCACCAAGGTCTTTACTCAACCAGGACTTTAAAAGAGCATACCACATCATTTTCTTCAGAGGCAGGGCACACTCTTGTATCCTTCCTCCTGGCTCCACCAGATATGTGTCCTGCTCTGACTGGCAGCAAGGGATATCAGCAATGACAATCATCTCTGCATATGTCAGAATATAGCTGCACAGGATGACAACGCTTCAGTAAGTTCACTGCACGAAAACGGTGTTGTCACCCTGCAGAGGAAGGAAGAGGCTGCAGAAGAGGAAGAAAGAGGCTGGCAGGATCACCAGATATTTAATAAATTACTAATGAAATTAGACAAAAGTAAAGGTGACTATTGTACTTAAATAAAAGTTGCTCTAGTTTTAAGAAAGACATTTGTATTTTGCTTATAGTATTTAAATGCACCTATACTTTCAATACGTAAAATCACAATACCCAATAAAAGGTAGGGAAACATTTTGTATTTCTGTCAAACGTATTGTTGAAAATGTAAACGTGAAGCCGCTCCATGATCCA